CGGATGTACCGCTGCGAACAGCGGCTTTTAAATGAGAGTTAGGGGCAAAAGCTGCGGTCGGTAAGGGGGTGGGAGAGGGGGGAGCAAAGCCAGACCCATGGCTGCTGCCAGCCCGGACCTGCTGTGCCGGGCACCCGCCAAGCTCTGCGCCCCTCCTTGGCTCCAAAACACCCCCAGGAGCACAGGCCACCCAGCCAAAGCTCATTTTATTAGTACTGTATAAAGATTAAACCCCTCCCCTGCTGAGGAGCCCTCCCCAGCCCTTTTCCCCAGCCCCAGCACGGGGAGAGCCGGCCCCTTCCCAGCAGTGCTGCCTGGAAGGGAGCGAGAGGTGACTGATGGAACCTGCTGAGGGTTTCCAAACCTCTCCCTGCAGCCTGGCCTGTGAAGCGTTAACACATTGATTTATTTTACCTTTAACTCCAACATGCTGATCAGCCTAGAAAGTGAAGGCATTATTTATTGTGTGTAGTAGAGATTAGGCCTCGCTGACGGTAGAGGAGAGCTTTAAAAATCTGCAGGTCACTTCCACCTCAGGAAACCTATTTTTAACAAACTGAAGCTCACAACATCCTGACGTGGCTCTACACTTGTTAGAGAAGCTCCTTTGGCCAGAGACAGATCATAACACGGTGACTCAGCTATGTTCTTCTGAGAGCCTTCAAGGAATCCTGCAGTGATTCATTCCCATCTTAAAGAGCTGAAGAACCCATGGGTGAAATGTGAGTTTCTGATGGGTGTTGGAGTGACCTCAGCACCCCTGCAAGAGCTCAGGGCTGAGGACTCAGGGGGTTTGGGCTGCCCAGATGCCCTTACCCACCCCAGCAGGGACCTGCTACCCAAATCTGGCTTGGGCAGATCTGAAAACTCCTGCCCTGAGGCTTTCACAGGACACTAGATGTGTGGTAGCAACTGCAGCAGTTTTATGACTTGCACATACAGGAGACAATGACATCTGTAATCATTCTGTGATAAAATATAAACATCTGGTCACATAAATAAATTCTTACATTAATGCACCATGATGCACTTAGTGTTTCACGTATGATGCTCTTCATTTCTGCCTCAAGGCTCATTTCCAAAGCGTTGTCAGATGCAGCTCAACAAGATTATTGTTGACAGGCCACCTCTGTCCATTCTCTGCCACCTCCATCCAGAGACTAAGGCTGAAAATGAAACCCTGGGACACTTCCAGAGTGACAGCCAGGCACTGCAGCTGAATAAACATGAGGTTTCAGAAGAAGGCACTGCCACCAGGACTTTAGAAGCTATTTGAATCTCTAGATAAAGTGAAGTTTTGTAACTTTTATAAACACTTGATTGAATCACCAGACCTGGAGGGGTTTCAGAGATGTGTAGATGTGGTGCTGAAGAACGTGGTTCGGCAGTGGACGTGGCAGAGGTAGGTTAATGGTTGGACTAAATGATCTTAAAGGTCTTTTTCCGACCAAAATGATTCTGTGACCTACCCAACAATTCAGGAAGGTGATTTTTTTCTTGAACTAGTGGCATTTTACAGTTCTGTACTAGTCTGCTGTCACTTAGTAGAGACAGATGTTCACTACAATAAAAAAAATACACAAAGCTTTAAGCTCTTTTTTGTTAAAACTGCTGGGAGGTGCCTACACGGCAACTGTTTAATGAACTGTTGTGTCATATTTACATCTGATTACTCTTTGTGACTCACTGGGTAAGGCTGGCAGAACACTGTGCCACTCTGTCCTAAGGCACAGTGAACTCCCACTGGCTGTACAGAACACAGGCTGGGAACACCCACAGGCACTGCTGCGCTCGCTCGGGCCTCCCTGGCCAAGCCCAGGTGGAGTGTGAGCACGTGCTTCTCTCAAAAGAGCAACCTTCACCAAAAAACCAAACCACCCCAGCCCAAAGAGTCAACCTCCTCCTGCCTGCTTCGCTCCTGGATGTCACAATACAGGTCTGATGTCTGAACCCTTCCCAGAGTGATGGATGGTGACACCTCGGAATGGATCCCACGGCAGACGGCAGTCAACCAGAGCCTGGGGAAGTGTCTTGAGAAGCAGCAGGAACAGGAGTATGCAGAGAAACTGAGGTGGTGGTGTAGTGAGGTTTGAGCAACAGCGCTGCTCAAGCACTGGTGACAGCCACCCTCTGTGATGTGGCTGGCATTGAGTCCCCAAAATGGAAGTTATTAATCCCATCGGAAGATCACAATTGGGAATTCCACCTTCCAGTGGCAATATGCTAAATGCTTCCTCTTTAATGGCACTTGGGATTTTTCAAAAGAACAAAACTCTTCCCTTGTTGTGCGTTTTTGGGGTGGGAGTGGGGGGTTGACTTCTATGCTCAGCGATGGCTGCCTCTGGTTTTGGGCATACAGCTCACCAGCCAACCTCGCCGGCGAGGTGTCCCCTGGGTGAACCTCAGCCCTGCCACGCTGAGAATCAGGATGGCTGATGAACAGGATGAATCAGGATGATTACAGGCAGAGAAAAAAAAAAGCACTTTTCCTCCCATGCTGCCATCTGATTCATTTTGCCAAAGGCCGGTCCAGCAGCATCTGTTCCCAGAGCAGGCAGAGGAGAGTCCACTGACGGTGCCAGGACGGAAGCAGGGAGGAGGAGGGCTGTGCCCGGCGCCGGCCGGGGTGCTGCCCCCCCGCGGGGGTTATTTGAAGGTGGCGTTGAAGGCCCTGCCGATGACCAGCCTGCGCACCTCGCTGGTGCCCGCCCCGATCTCGTAGAGCTTGGCATCCCGCAGGAACCGCCCCATCGGGTAGTCGCTGATGTAGCCGTTCCCCCCTGCGGGCAAAGGGCAGGCAAAGGCTGTTTCTCAGCTCCGAATCCAGGGGCCCAGGGTGGGATGGGAGAGGGGATGGGAAAGCTGGCGGCTCCTACACCACTCTCGGCTCCCTCCAGCCAGCACTCGAAGGAACAAACCCCTCCAGTGACTCACCCAGACACTGGATCCCATCCAGAGCCACCTGGGTAGCACACTCTGCTGAGTACAGGATCACTCCAGCACAGTCCTAAAGGAGAGTCACAGCGAGGAGTCAGGAAAGGTGTCACCTGCCCATCTCCAGCCTCTGGGTTGCTCTGACCTTTCCATCACTCTGCTAACGAGCCTGAACTACTCAATTACAAAGACACAGGGCTCATTCTCCAGCGAGCAAAAGCTGCAAGAGTCTCTGTCACCATATAACACTTGTCTCAGGTCTGTAAAGGCCACATGAAGACAGAAATAAAAAGAAAAAACAGGAGTGCAGTAGGGGAGCTGGTCTCTCACAAATTCACATCATGCCACAGAAGACCAGTGTGATTTGATCTGGGATCAGGACTCTGTGCTCCAGCTGTTGAGTGCCTTCCTTTAGTAGAGGTGTGGTGACAACACCTTGGAACAGCTACAGCCCCTTACAACAGCCAGGACATTGTGTTTGGGCTTCCAATAAACACCTACTGACACTGCTAAATCTGCTGCCTTGTAGGGCAAGGCCTTCTTCCTCTTTGGGGGAAAAAGACTACTTAAAGGTGTGTGGGAGCTGTTTTAGCTCCCAGGAGGGAAGTCCCACCCTGCTCAGGACCTGGAACTGCCCCAGCAGACAGGGTGCAGGTGGGAGCTCACTCACCTTTGGATTGCAGTAGCCCTGGTCACAGGCCTTGGCCACGTTGTAGACGTACTGCCGGCAGGCCATCAGCCGGGTGTACATGTCTGCCATCTTGCCCTGCATGAGCTGTGTGCCACAGGGGAACAGAGAGGGGGGCATCAGCAGGGCTGAGGGGAGATTATCTCCTGCACGAGCACCGGGGATCACTCCTTCCCCAAACTGTCCCAGAGAGACTCAGCAAACGAGGAGACGTGGATTCCGCAGCCCTGTGAGAGGAGCTGGAGGTTCTGGCAGTTCACAGACCCCCAGATGTCAGTCACAGCAGGTAAACAGGCCTGGGGACCCTTCCACCTTCTCACCACAACATCACCTCAGGCAGCTCCACCTCCAGGCAACCTTCTCTGAGCAAAGCCCTCCCACAACAGAGCTCATTGTCTTCTTGTTTTTAAGGAGAAAAGCAATATGACAAAAATTTCTAATCCCTTTCCTGCCTCACCTGGAAGTGGCCAATTTTCTGTCCAAATGCTTCTCTTACATGCAGGTATGGAATTGCATGGTCAAGAACAGCTTGCATGAGCCTAAGGAAAGCATAGAAATGCAGGAGAATGAATCAACAAAATTATTAATTAATAATTATTAAACCTTGGAAGTGCAATCTAAGGCAAAAAGGTTCTCACCCCTAAAATGACATGCTGCTGTCTTCCTATAGCTCTACTCAAACAATGCTGAGAATAAAATCCAAAGGTCTCATTTTTCTCCCTAGTCTTCTACATGTTGCTCATTTGGGACATCTTGTGGTAAAGTCTTAGAGTCTTAACTTGGGGAATTGAGATGAAGAGTTGAAGAGCATTCTTACAACTGCAGCCAGGCCAGCTCATGCTGCCTGGCACCTCCAGAAAGCACCAACTCAAGGAGAACTAACCAGTACCATAAAAAATGGTAGGCAATGAGAAGGGTGAGAAATCCTCCTCCTGCCTTGTGGAAGATGGTCTTTCTGCATGAGGATTAGAGACCACCCGGGAGGGAAAAAGGACCATAGTGCATAAATAATTACTGGGCAGTTTAAGGACTGAATAAATGAAGAGCAAACACTTTACCCAGTCCAGTGGTCTTTCTGTGTGGCAGCCTGGAGAGTGTTTTAGGTTTTAAGGAATCAGTAACACAGATGAGTTGGTTATTCCCAGAGTCATACACACTGCAGGGATACACAAGCAAGGAGCTGGGGACCAAGGCAGATTTACCATCTCTGGAAAGATTTATGTCCAGGCTAGTGTTTTCTAAAGCCTGCTCTGGAGGGTCAGTGTGCTACACTAGAAGGCAGAGATTTGCAAACTTTCTTTCTGGCAATGCTTTTTCTACCCCTTGCCCCACAGGGGACTTCCCACATAGATGCTTTCAAACAAACAAACAAAAAGCCTGCATGAGGAGAAGTAGAGGAAAAGGTGGAGCAGACACAGCATAAGCTGTGGAGTGCTGAGCTGAGAGCTCTCCAGCAGATGTCCATTGGAACCACGAGCAGCTATTACAGAGCTAGAGAACCCAGCAGCTATGAGATCTGTCTGCTCTTGCCTCCTTTGCAGCTTCCTTCCTTCCCACAACTCTGACCCAGCCTTTCTTCTTTGCTCAGAAGCTGCCCCAGTATTTCAGTTCCCCATTGCATCTCCACCTCCATCCTACTGAGAGCTGCAAGCCCAGCTGGGGACCCACTGGGCGAGGTGATCGTGGGGGATCCTTCTGGCCTTACAACCTAAAAAAGGTCACAAACCCTTACCCCAGTGGCCCACCAGACAGCACGAGTCTCTCCAGGTCCAATCCACTCATCAGGATGTAGACTCCTTTGCTCAGCTTCCCCAAGACATTTTCAGCTGCAATTGCCAAAGGAAAGTGATTTACTTCTGTGCAAAGCTAAGATAAGCTGTTGTCTGAGGGCCTGTGTTTGCTGGGGAGAGGATTCAAACTCTCACACCCCTTCATCTTGCTTTTTGGCCTGAGACACAAACATCCAGGATGAGCTAGCCAGGTGCCAAGTTTTGATACAGATACTCCCTACCACCAAAATGACTTTTCAGTCCAACCAGAGCCAAACAGGAGAAGGCAGTAAAGGGTTACAAAGTACATCTACAATCACTGCTGTTCCCTTGCCTGTTCTCTAAAGAGCAAGGTGCTCTCCAGAGATCTTCCAGCTCAGCATTTCTACCAACAAGAACAGGAGACTTATTCAGCTGGGAGGACAAACTGGGGGCCCCTTTGCCACCCCATTATTTGTATGTAACTCCAACTGGCAGCACTACCAGCCGGTCTCTGCCGAGCGCGTATCTGAAATGAATGCAAACCCTGCTCTGATCTGCTTGGGAGGGGGCATATGAACAGAACATGGAACACTGCAGTTGTTACAAATAAAGGTTTTTAACAGATTAGTATCATTGCTGTGAAAATGGAACAGGAAAATAGCCACATTAGACAATGGGCTGAGACAAAGAAATCTCCAAAAGCCATTTCACTTTGGGACAGTCTGAAGCACGCGGTGATGTTAACAAGTATAAAACAAGAAGCAGGAACAAAAGGCTCATCACAGCAAGGCTGTGCTCCTACAGTCAGGAGAGACCTTACAGCCTCACAACTGTGCTTTGTAGAGGGACAGAGATTATCCACTGATCACACCATGCAGAACTGACACACGCTTCAGGCTTTGATCACAAGAGATCTGAGAGGTGTGATATGCAAAGTGAAAATGAGACAGGACGTGGACACGTGCAGATGGTCTCCTGAAATAAATAATCTGTTTTTCAGTGCCAGAAGCTCATGGACTGCATTGTCTCCTGTTTATTGAAAATCCTGTTGATGTAGTGTATGGAGAAGGGCAGCCTCTGCAGGGCCATCAGCATGACAGTGGAGCTAGAAAGAGGAAGAATAATGAAGCTTGGCTTTCAGAGAAACAGCTCAAAAGCCCCACAGACAAGAAAGAAAAATACTAATAGCAAACATTACTTTGAAGAACAGAACACAAACGCCAGCATCAGTAATAATAAAGTGACAAAGCTGCTCCTGAGTAATGAGGAGCTGCTCCTGAGTAGCATCTCAGCTATAAAGGGACTGAAGAGCCTGAATACTTCCCTGCCCATCCAGGGAAAAGGGATGGTAGATGTGTGCTGAGCTGGAGGACTCATGTGCTGACTGCAAGAGAGGGACAGACCTGCTCCTGCCTAACACAGCAAAAACAAACATAAAAACCCCAAACCACCAGGGCTCTGTACCAAGTTTTCCCAAAGCACACAGTCAATGAACCCATGGACAACACTTGTTGTGAGAACACCAGCCACTCAGTGGAGCATGGCTGAAATGAAACCTCTGCATTTTAAAGTGGATGGAATTGCAGTGCTAGAGGACATCCTGGAAGAGAAAGATCCTGCAGACACATGAAATGGCATCAAACCAGTTCAGCTTCCAAGGCAGAAGATCAGAGCAGCTTTAATGGCCAGAGTGCAAGGTGTGGTAACTCTCAACACAGCAGTGAAGTGCTTCTGAGTTATCAGGAACTGGGAATCCTCTCACCACGAGCACGTCCTGCCCTGCACGGGGATCCTTGCTGATTGCACAGTGGAGGGATCCAATGAAGTTGGAAATGTCAGATATCCTGCCCTGCACGGGGATCCCTTGGGAGCTCCTCTGAAGACTGGGGCACTGGCCTTGCTGATTGCAGAGTGGAGGATCCAATGAAGTTGGAAATGTCAGATTTCAGCTGAAACTCTTCCACTTACTGCAAAGTAGCCTTTGGTTGGTGTGTGGGGAGCAGGAGAGTAACCTGCTCCACAGATATGCAATTAGGATTTTCCTGAGTTCAGACAAGGCATGTCCTCCCATAGGGAGAAGATGCTAGAACTCTATAACTCTAAATATATAGAGGCTGATTTTTCTGTCAAAAAAAAATAGCTACTGGAGTAACAAAAATGGCCATTCCAGTGGCCCTGCTGTGCTAACAGATGGGAAAGCATGTCCACCTGAAAGAGACACCCAAAAAGAACTCTGAAATGTTACAGGCAAACCAAAAGCCTGTTGAAGAGTCTCCAAATGATTTTGGAGAAAAAACCCTTCAGGGCAAATAAGCTCTCCTGTATCAAAGATGGGGAGCTCTAATGGAAACAAACATGTTTCTCTGGAAGCCTCAGCTTGGCTTTGCAGAAGCAGTGCCCAAGAGTCAAGCCCATGAGGGTGGAACAGGAGTGACCTAGCAAGGGATGTGCTCCTTCACTGCAACCCAGCAGACTGCACTTTTCCAGTTCCACCAGCTCTCCTTCAAGGCTGCCAAAGAGCAGATAACCATCTGCAAAGCCCTCTAGGTCTGAACATGCTTGTAATTAGTGATCCAGTTTATCTGATTGAGAAGACAGGAAACCACCACATGCATACTGCTGTGATTTGAAGCCAACTCACCCGGGATCTTGCAGTCTTCAAAGATCAGCTCACAGGTATTAGACCCTCTCATTCCCAGCTTGTCGAGCTTCTGGGCTGTGCTGAAACCTGGCATCCCCTGCAAGGTCAGGACAGTCACAATGCATCTCAAATCTCCATTCTGACAGACCAAATAAAATCACTAGAGATCTGTGAAACTTCCCTGACCACATGAACATACGTGGGGTACCAGAGGGAAGCCAAAGTGAAGTGGCCACCCTGGGAACAAGAACAGGTCTAAGTGCAAGTGCAGGGGAAGCAGACGAGTGCAGAAACATGCACACGTGGGGGGCACATGTGAACTGAGTGCACCCACTTTCCAGCACAAGTAAATATTAAATAAATACATTATTTGGACAGCTGCCAACTGACCCTCTCCTAGAGTAAGGGTTGTAAGCTTTGCCAGTGACTGACCTATTCTAATCACTAAGTCAAGTTCAGCAGAAGGTTTACTGATCTCTGAGATTTTATTTTTCCAGCACCATTTCTTTTACTATGGTTTTCTGTCTTCCCTGTGGTGACAGACATTGAAAGGCAAGAAAAATTGCAACAGATCCCTGTTTTTCAAGGACTCCCTGATGAACAGCCCGTTTCTGCTCCCTTTGGGCTGTTCTGCTGTTGGGTCACTTCAGGATTCCAAAGGAGCAGTGCAAGAAAATGAGGGAAGAAATCAATGGGGCTATTTTAATATCTTGGATTTAAGAAAAAAAAACAAAAACCACACAAAGTTGGAAAATCAGGTAGTAGGACACATTTACAAAGCCTCCAATATCTCTGACAATTTTCAACAAGAAGCAAGCCCTTTTATATTAGAATCTCATCTGTTCTCTCCACGTTTCTGGTTCTGAAGACTGGTGATGTGCTCGGGTAGACAACTCCAGGAGTGCAGTGTGCCAGAGGCAGCCCAGGAGCTTCACGGGGTTATGAAATTCGGGCAGGAAGTAGTTTGTCTTTGAGCAAGGGGCTGACAGTTTGAGGAAGAAAATCAGCTGGCTTCTAAATGGGGGTGCAGGAGCTGGCTTTAAAACCCACACTCCAATAAGCCTGTGAGAAAGACTGAACCTACCTTCTCCACGATGAAGGCAGTTATACCCCGGGAGGCTGGAACAGCATTGACATCAGTTTTTGCATACACGACTAAGACATCTGCATCTGGCCCATTGGTGATCCAGAATTTGTTCCCATTCAAAACAAAGTAATCACCTAGAAGCAAAGAGCTGAAATCTGTTAGCTCACAACACAGAACAGCAACACCTGTACCCTCACTCCATTAAATCCAAAATGGAATTCCAAAGATGTTCCTTAAGACCTCCCCAAACAGCATCCACAAATCCTTCCCGGGTTCAAGAAAACTAATTTCCTTCATTCCTGGAGTCCAAAGACAGTTTACCAAATGCCTGATACACTAAGACACCTACCACTGTTTCCACTGTACTACCAACCTCCACCACCACATTCAGAAGTCCACTTTTAGACCTTCAGCTGTCCACCTTGTGTCTTCACTACGTTTATCACACATTGAGCCTCCTGGGAGGCAGCACAAGCCTGCAAACATGGCCTGGTATACCCAAAACTAAGCTCTGTATCTCTGTGGTGTTGGGGAGCTTAGTCTAAATTTACAGGAGACGTCACTTAAGCTGTCACCTATCCAGGCAGCACCTGACTGGCTGTACCTTTCTTATCAGCTCTCAGCTTCATGGACACGACGTCAGATCCAGAATTGGGTTCACTCATGGCTAAAGCTCCAATGTGCTCCCCACTGATGAGCTGGAAGAAAAGACACACAAGAAAGGAAGGAAGAACAGTGGCATTGTTTCTGTTCCCTCTTTAGCCTGCCTTCCTTTTTTTCCTGCACTCAACCTCCAGAGTAGCTGTCCTGTGCAGAACTGCAGACAGAGCCACTGTTCCTGGCAGGGCCTGGGCAGGGAGCTCCTCGAGCTGCTGTGCTGAGGGAGCAGAGCCAAGTGGCAGTGGGATGAGGAGGATGATTCAACTCCTGTCCGAGCTCGAGGAGTACAGCCCTGCTTATAACACACCATCTCCAGGAAGGTGCCAGAGAACCATGCAGGCAGCCATATGCTTTTCACAAGCTCCTTGTTCTGTACTTTATGACTGCCCTTTTCCATAAACAACAGTTGTTAAACACAAAAGGCCAATGGGGGTGGAGGAAAAGAGATTGCAAAGTTCTTAACAACCTTCTCACAGCCCGGTGCCCCCACGCTCACACTAAAACAGCAGATGGACAACTCCTTCTGTGCCTGCTCATACCAGGCTCTGGCATAACTCTTGCTTCCTCTCCACTGCTCCTTTCATCCTGCCCTTTCCTCCTCACTTGTTTTTTTCTCTCTGTGTACTTTTATCCATCTTCTCTTTTGATCTTATTTTATTGAAAACAGACTCAATGCTTAAGATACACATTCAACCAATTCAGTCCATGGATGCATTTCTACAGAAGGCTTTGTGATGTGCTCAAAACTAGTTAAGTACTGTTACCTACTCTGTCACAAACCTAGGCAAGCAAGGGCTGAAGTGACCACACGTCTCACTGAGAGGCAGTGGGAGAGGGCATTAAAAAGCACCTGAGCAGCAACGAGGACATTTGGGGGTTACGTATCAGCAGGCTGCACAATGCTCAGGAAGCAACACTGTGCTTTGCATGTGGTTTCAATCAAGCTTCTTGGGCTGATCATTTCAGTAGCTGGGATTCAATTTACTCCTTCAGTTCTTCTGTGCATCTAAACACTGAAAATTGTTTATCAGGCTTTTGAGTCACAAACATCAGTGCCACAAATGACGCAGAAGTTTCCCACAGAGTTATTCAGCACAGGCAAACCAAGCACTTGGGCACTGAGAAATGGGGAATATGAAATAAGAAAACAGTAAATTTCACTGAGAACTCTCAGAAGAATTTGGAAGAATATCACCCAGTGTCTCCTCAAAGCCTCACAGGGTAACACAGCTCTGCAGAGCTGGACTATGCTGCCTACAGACATGGACAGGCCAAGGTCAGTATGGATTAATAACACAAAAATTAACAAGCTAGAGAAGGGCAAGCTTAGAAAGTACAATATTTCCTAAGGCTGGGTGACTGCAATCAACTAGCGCAAAATGCTACACACCATGGAGGATGTTCATCCCTGCATGCAGCCAAGACCCAGGTGCTCCTCACCTTCCCCTCTCTTCCAGGGACATACCTTGGGCAAGTACTTGCTTTTCTGGGCCTCGTTGCCGTTACGCACCAGCTGGTTGATGCAAAGGTTTGAGTGGGCACCATAACTAAGCCCAACAGCTGCTGACGCACGGGAAATTTCCTCCATCACCACCACATGGTCCAGATACCCCAAAGCAGATCCACCATATTCCGCTGGGAAGAGAAGAGAACCCTTGTCACCCACCGTGGAGTCTGCCAGACGTGCAGAGTGTCCCAGGGTCAAGCTCTGTCTAGAACGTGATACAAGACACTCACAGGAGAGCTTCTGGTTTTGACTGACACTGTCCCTGAGCTGGGCACCTCTGGCTTCCCCCATCCTCTCTGAATTTCAGTTTCCTTATCTTAGAGGCACAGTGATATTACTTCTTCAGCATAACCAACAGTTTACTTGCACAGCACAGTTTTGTATGCATGGCATAAGGATCCATCTAAAACATGCTACTGACACTTGAACAGTGAATCCTTTTTGTCAGCCATTGGCAAGTGTAACTTTAATATTATGATGAAGATTAAATCACAAAGTGTCAACCTGTATTAGGTGAGAGGACAAAGGAACACAGGCAAAGTTTGTGAAGTCTATGTGTGTCTGTCATGACAAGTACCCCTAAACAAGTGAGGAATCCTCTAACTGCTCAAAAAGTGGAGCACTAGAACTTTTCTAAGCCCACCACTGTGCAGGAGGGCAGTATTTTGATGGGTGGTTGATTCAGAATGAAAATGATCCAGAAGCTTAACTGCTGTAATTCACCAGTGGCAAGAATGTGGATTTCAAGAGAGGATGAAGCTAGACAGAGCAGCACCATCACCATAACTGGGGATCTAGCTAGGCACACCAAGCTGAGTCTAAAACTGGTGAAGATGAAAGGCACACAGCAGAACAGGGACAGAGAAAAGGCAGAAAAAAAGAGAAGGCTGAGAAGTGCATAATGGCCTGGAGCAGCTGACAGCCTACATAAATATATACATCTCTACACCTACACACGCTTGCAGACACACCAGCACAGTCACATCCCCACGTGAAAGCTTTGTTCTACAGACAAGGAGCAAGTGATTGTGCTGCCACGGGGAGAGCTGCAAGAGGAGGATGTGAGTGCTGCCGAGCAGGCAGGGAGGTAATCCAGGAGCACTTACTTGTCACCAGCACGGATGCTGCAAGCAAGCAGCAACAACAGTTAGAGCAGATATGTTTGAATGCCAGAGTGACCAGAGCTGGGCGAGGGGCCTGGCAAGGAGAGGGCCTGGCAAGGAGAGGGGCTACTGTCCTCACCCTGTCCCATCAACACCACGGCTGCTGGCATTAGGTGCAGCCTTTCCTCTCCTGCCACTCACCCTGACTCCTGTCTCTAACTGCAGGGCTCTCCAGCTTCTGAAATCAACTCTCTCTACCCAAATCAGTTTGGGGGTTTACTATCAATATCCTGAAAAGATGGGTTTAATTTCTCACATATTCCAAACCAAGGGAGTTTTCTATTCATTCTGTGGAGTGGATGGGTTTGATGGTATTGTAACTGCCTGCCCTAAGCTGTACTGGCCATAGTGATCACTTTGTACTGCTAGAGGTAAAAGAAAACAACCCTGCCAGATAAATTCTCATATAATACAAATCAGTGTGATTTAGACTGATGCTGCCCTTTCAAAAGTAGCCTTTACATATGACATCCCTGTATTATCATTCTGTGGTAGCTCTCTCTATATATATATATGTATTTCTTAAGTTAGCTCTTTATAAAATAAATAGAAAATTACAAATCAATGTAGTTTTCTTATTTTTAAGAAGAAAACAAACCCCACTGTTATTTTAAATGATCCCTTAACAGACTCTGGGCGCTGGTGCCCAAATACACCATCAAACTGAGCATATGTCCTCCTAAGATTTCACATTATCCTCACATCCTAAATCCCAGCCTCCACCTCCTACAACAAAACTGGTTCCCATAAAGAAACTGCACATAGCCACACAAACAAAAAGAAGGCAAAAAATCCCGGGCATCGGAGGGGTTTAGAGGGAAGCCTTTGAGGAACTCAAAAAGGACAGGACTCATGAGGGGACGGCTTATTTATAGTGTGGGAAACTGCTGTAAGCCTCAGGCACAACATCAAAGAAGAAAGAAGGTAGGAGTGAGAAGAAACAGGAGCAGCAGTGAGCTGGGGAGGGCAGGGGGAAGGCAGGGCCGGCTGCGGTGAAAGGAGGCGGCATTGGCTCCGCCACTCAGCGCTGCTGCGGCAGCCCCTGCACAGGCAGCCCCTGCACAGGCAGCCCAGCAGCACAGCAGCACAGGCCTCCCCACGGGGAAGAAAGGCCCCACTGCCTGCTCTCCTCCAGAGGCCTCCTCCTCATTACCCGGCGTCAGCCATTCAGCCTCAGCCAGCCACGACGTTAATCAAAACACTTTTCAACTAACCTGGACAAGGCTGAATACGATTTACCCTGGTTTTTCTTCTGACTGGTTGGATGTGGTCAGCTCTCCATTAGTTATCACAGCTTTTCACAGCACTCTTTGACACCCTCTAACTTTGCCTATTAGAGATGGATGTTTGCTCTAGGATACTTTTATCCACAGCTCCTTCAAAACTCGCAGCAAACGCTTCGCCTTGGAGGAGCGCGAATGTGTTCGAGTTGCACGTGTTGTATCTGGAGAAACCATTTCTGAATGGTACCTTCAAATTGTAAGAGGCATTTTGTACTCGCCCAGAAGTCTAACACAGAAAAAGGACTCTGAGTCAGGGAAGAATAAAAAGCTACCAAAGAGATTTTTCAGAAAATGTGAAGGTAGGAGCTTCCAGACCAAACGGACATCACATCACTGACAGGACTATTATGAACTGGAAAGGGTGAGTTTGAGTGGTCTCCATTTTACTGAGTTTAAGTGGTCTCCATTTTATTTGAAGAATCACCCACCAGAAGGTAAAAGGTGGGAACAGACTTACCAGGAGCTGTGATTCCCAGAACTCCCAGTTCCCCAAGTTTCTTCCAAAACTCCTACAAATACAAAACAAGGAATCAGTCTGGACCTACATCCAGAGCACCAGCATAAGCCTTCCCAGGTAACTCACCAGAAACATCAATTTACCTTATTCTTGTGGTATCTCAGAAAGAAATACATCAATACCTATTCCTCCTGCAGCAGCAGCTCCAGGATTTCTTTGGATTAAGAACCCAGACAGACTTAAGGATGTTAATTATGCTACATGTAGGAGCAGTCTTGAATTCAGTGGAAATTCACAACCTAAATTTAATTCTAAAGATCCTAAGATCTAATTTATTTCTAAAGGCCCTAAGATTGAACTCATTGCCCAGTTTAAGGAGAACGTTGATGAATTAAAAACCTCCCATTAATTTCAAAAACTGCACTTCTTTCATATACATCGCTCGATAAAAACTTATTTAGGATATCCTGGCTTAAACTTATGCTTGTCTTTCACCTCACACACCCATCACTGTGCCTTGCAGCACTGTGCAGGCCTAGCTGCCCATGGTTGCCACAAGTAGCAACTACCATAAGAGATCTGTGACTGAACCCTGGAAATAGGTGGAAGAATTGCTATTTGCTGGCACTTTAAAACTCCTCCAGTAAAACAGACACTGATAAGTAAAGCCAAGAGAGCCTCCTTGAGAGAGATTTAAAAAAGGGGATGGGACAGCTGGGGCAGACAGAGGTGCTGCCTGCCTCACAGGCAGCACTGGAGAGGCTGTAAAAGGTGATCATGACAGAAACTGCAAACACTTCAGGCTTGTGAAGCTAAAGGAGCTGAATCCACAAGGGCCACTCAACCCGTAGGTTTGACGCCAACTCTTCTATTAGCCTGTTGCCCAGATCTGTCACCCTGCCAACCCCACCACATGATTTGAGGCACAGAGCTGCTGGCTGGCTCGAGACATACATCAGCTGTGTCTGGCACACGGCAGCATGGGGTCAGAGGGAAGCCACGACCAGGCAGTAGCAAAGGGTGCCACCAACAAGGCCCACATGTACACTGGAGGGGCCACCTCCGTGCCGCTGCTTCGGACTGCAGCCTCTCCTCCACTACATGATGGACACACAGGTGAGTGCTTGTCACATGGCCTCAGCATCCAGCAAGGAGATAATTATCAGTGAATAGTCTCCAGAGACTTCAAAAAGTATTATTCGATAGCTCTGGATGACATCTGGTGCACCAGACTAAATTTATACACTTAACTTCAAAGCCTTGCCTATATCCCTGAAAATGTCAACATCAGAGCTCTGGGAAATCCTGGCAGATGTTCTGAGCTTTTTAAGTCTTGTGGAGCTTATGAAAACCAATACTTAGATCTCTCATTTTCATCAATCAAACCGTCCTGCTGCACAGAATTTGTGTTTTTATTGGTAAGGCAAGTTTCAGCCTGACAGCCAAACAACTCCACGGTTCAGCATGTGCATGCAATATTTTCACAACAATTTTGGGAGGAAACTCAGATGTCCAAGAAGTGGTCCTAGCTATGGACATAGGAAGCACATATTAGAGCAGAGCCAAGCAGAAATACCACAATAAGAACCCAAACAAGACCATTATCAAGCCTTTTTTTTTTTTTTCCTGAACTGCATCCTGGCTGGGTTCTGCCCCAGGTTGCTGAAAGTTGTTAACAGAAGATAAAACAGGAAATCAAAAAATTGCTTTCTCTTTGGCTTTCAAGTTTGAAAAGTTAATGCATGTGTTCCTGTGGTGTGGGCTGGGATTCTTTGTCTGCAGCAACGTAGAGATCAAAGCAGAGTCAGGCTCCCATCTACTCTGAAGGCACACACAAAATACTTGCCCGCATGTCTTTGAATTCATTTTCCTGGTCAATCTGTTGGGCCTTCGGAGCCAAGTGCTCTTGACAGAACTTTGTCATGGTCTGTCTAAGCTGGGAAAAGAGATGAGGAGAAACACAAACGTTACATCTCATCAATACACTGTCACCACCTTCCCTAGGACCTGGCCAACAGTGCCCTGCCCGGCGGCTCCAGGGTCCCAAACCCAGAAGCACAAGAGCAGAAGGAGATGGACTTGTCGGGTCACTGGCAGAAAGGTGACACAAAAGGCCCTGCTGAAGAGAAGATGCTGGTGTACTTCAGTTCCTGCCAGCATTTAACCTCAACAGTCCTACCTCAACATGATGGGAGGTCCCTTAACCACCGCTTGCACTCGGGCTTCAGGGGGTGGTTTTGGTGAGGAGACTCTGAGAGCTGATGGACAGAGCTCATGATGTGTTACCCCCATCCAGTACCTGCTTACAGCTTCATTTAATTACATGCAGATGCCTGCAATAGGCATGAATGCTAATTTAGATGTGTTGGTGTATCAGACTGGAATGACATTAGCTGTCCTGCTATTTTCTTCAGAGGATTTGTTAAAATTAGGTATACTCACTGTTCTAATGTTAAAACTCCCAAAATCTTTTCCTAAAGTTTAAAACCTGAATACTTACAGACAGGTATGCTGCAGAAATCTGGGCATATACCAAGAAAACATGCACAACACCTCTTTGAATGTTTTTAGTACAAAGCTTTAAAAACTTTCTCTAGGTATTATGGTAGAGCTTAATAATCCCATTTTTCCTTTTGGTTCTTTATTCCTACAAATTAATGCTAGTGAAGGAACAGTCTTGGAGACTGAAACCCTCTCCTCTCTAAGCAGGGCCTATAGAAGGAGCAGAAGCATCCCAGTGCACCCCCAGGCTCCTCTGCCCTTCTCCCAGCCCCACAACCAAAACAGTCTCAATTTTACAACCAAAAAGATACTCTGGTTTCCATGATGACCCAGACCTCGGATTCTAGTACCACCAAAAGTTTCCCCTCCATTAATTGTTTTGCTTTTCTTTTAAACGTTAAATGTTTCCACTGTCACAAAATTGACAGCAGGAGACTTGAGCATAAATCTCAAAAAAAATTATTCTGGTTTTAGGTTATCCTAAGCATGCAGAGACCGAGAGACAGGCTTGGACAGAACCCTCTGATGCTCTAAGCCAGTTTACAAGTCACACTGCTGCTCATTCACAGCTTCACTGGCATGGCTGAGGGTTTAGTTCTGATTTTTTTTTTTCAGCTTTTCCACCAGACAGATAGGAACTACAGAGTATTTTCCTCCTTTTACCTGTGCTGAATGTAGCAGCACAAAGAAACCGCAGGTGAATTTGAGCTGATAAGGTGATAAACCATGAACACAGACTTGGTAAAGAGTAATTCTATAGTAAGAAAGAAGCGTGAAGGAGTAAGTTTATTTTATACACCCATTTGCTTGCAGGGCACTGGTTAAGGCTACAGCTCGACCTGAGAGGCACCAAGGACACGTTTCAGTGGGAGGAGCCTGTCTGGGGCAGCACTGCCAGGTCCCCACTGCCC